TACGTGAAGGGTGAGTGTCAGGAGGATGGAGCCAGGCTCTTCTCTGTGACATCCAGTGACAGGACAAGGGGCAATGGGTTCAAGCTGGAACATAGGAGGTTCCACTTGAATATGAGAAAAAACTTCTTCCCGGTGAGGGTGACAGAGCACTGGACCAGGCTGCCCAGAGAGGGTGTGGAGTCTCCTTCTCTGGAGACATTCAAAGCCCACCTGGATGCGTTCCTGTGGGATCTGATCTGGGTGTCCTGCTCCGGCAGGGGGATTGGACTGGATGATCTTTCGAGGTCCCTTCCCATCTCTAACATTCTGTGATTCTGTGTGAATAACGGGGCAGCCACACACAGCAGCCGAGTGAAGGTCAGTTCCTATGTTCCTGTCAGAGTCCTGTCTTTAAGTCCTTGTCTGAGCTGTTCGTAGTGGCTGGCGTGCTGCTGTCTGAATGGTAAGGGATGATGCTTCGTCAATCTTTTTGGCAGACTTTTAATCAGTAACTTTCAGTGTTCATAAATCAGTCCTTTCAAAAGGGGGGAAATAAAAACCCCAAACGTTTTTGCTTGTGATTTGCTTTTCTGGCTAAAGTTTCCCTTAAACCAGAAGTTTCTGTGAGAGGATACTGTTGACTGTAGAATTTGATGGTTAACTGGGGTGCCTTTGCTGCAAAAGTACCCTTTGAAACACTTCGCTGCTGCTGCTATGGTTGGTTTGGGCATCAGCTTTTCAAAGGAATTATTATGTTGGTAAGAATAGTTGTGCAAAATATAATGAAGCTGTTATTGTATTTATAATGTGCTTTTAGAGGTTTCAGTAATTCAGATTTTATTAGCAATTACAAACAGTTTCAATAAACTTTTAATGAAATGTTTATTCCTTTTATAGAACATCCCATGAAAAAATCTAATTTCTTAAAAGCAGTTATTGGAACACTGTTTTCAGTCTAAAGGTCCAAAGCCTCAGATTCTTTTGAGAATTTTTGAAAAGTCTGTCTGAAAGTGAACTAATGTACTTTCTCAGCTTTTCCTGCTTCATATCAGCTAGTGTTACATTGTGTATCTGATGGATAGAGACCATGATTTTTAAGTGTTAAAGGCCCTTTTCCCTCTTTCTCATAAGAACCGTTGGAGTTGGAAAAGAAAGCTCTGTAATCCTATCTCCTGAAAATTTGACACAGTTAATTCCACCACTGTGACCTTACTTTGAGAGACTGGCTTGTGTTTTAAAGATCTTAATAAATAAACTTGCCATTCTTCTGTTGTTCATATTTTGCTCCCTACGTCATCTATTTGAAGAAAATTATTAATCTGCTCCTCTACCGTAAGATTCTACCTGATGCAGTCTTTGAGGTGGTTAAACTAAATAAAATCCCATAAACTTTTGAGAATTTGGGATTCACAGATTGACTTAATCTGGTACTCACTTTTACAAAAATAGTTCCGTGACAGACATTGAGTGGTGAATGAAACTATTTTCTCCAAATTGAAAAGTAGAAAATATTGTAAGGAACTACCCAGAAAATATTATAAGAAAATGTAACTGCCGTTTTTTATCTCTTCTAACAGTTCTGCACAGTTTCACCACTGAGTTTCAACACCACCAAGTTTTCCCAGAGCCTGCAGAACAGACTGATGTACCCTGGCAGTATTGAGCACACATGTATGTGGTTAATCTTGTTGCACTAGGACATGACCCACTGCTGTGTCTATTTTATTTGCAAGCTTTCTCTTGACATTTGCCCGTAGTTTTCTCTGTATGATCATAAATAGTATTTACTGTATTTTCCAGTGACTCAGTATAAAAGGTTTGTTGCATGTGCCAAGTTTAACTTCAAAAGGATGTTAATATGGCTGAATTATAAAAGCTGCGTGTGACCCAGCACATGAATTGGTAGAACAGAAGAGGAAATGTCTGCCAGAGGTGTTTGGGTGGGCATTGCAGTTGGGTACAAATTAATCATTTTACAGCTGCCTCTGAATCTTTCCAGTAACCCCTCTGACCTTCCAGCTGTGTTCATGGAAGCCTCGTTGCTCTTTCCTTATACTGTCAGACTTCCCACTTGTTAGAAATTCTGGGGAAAGTTTGGAGTGTCCCTTTAACCTCATCTTTTATCGTTTGCTTTTCTGGATGTTTTTCCCCTCCAAGCATTCAAAGTGCCTTACGGGCATGAAACAGTTCAGACTTCTGCACAGATACTCTCAGTGTCCATTCCAGTGGTGACCTGCCTTTCCACTTCATGTTCTGTTCCTCCCAACATGTGCAGTAGCCTGACTTGCTCTCCAGCTGTCAACATTGGCAGGCTCTGCTCTATTTCACTGGCTTCATTTGACTTTCTCAGAATAAGGTTATTGTGCCTTCAGGCACCCCAGATACTATGCTGACTCCTGTATAGTTTACTTTTCAGCTAGAAATGAAGCTTTAGTTCTGGGTCCTGACTGGCAACCATAGGATTGAGTGTTGATATGTCTGAGTTTTGCAGTTCTACTGCAGCTAGCTTCCACAAAAAGCGCTCTCTGTAACTGTAGTAGCAGCGTCTTCTAAAGACAGACTGCATCCTCTGCAGACCCCTTTTCAGCTTCTGAAACGTTCACATCTTCTGTCTTTTAGTCTTCACAGTTGGCAGAAATAGTTCTTCACTTAGGCATTTTTCCAGTGGGTTGTGCAGGTTTTTCAAAGGCCTGTTGTTCTTTGAAGAGAGGGTTATGGGGAGGTGGCTGAGTCTGATAAATCTTAAAGGTTTGGTTACTACTTCTGTCTCCTTTCCAAGAAATGTGCTGTTCCTCTGGCAGCTGTTAGACGGGAGTTAGAACAGGGGAAACCAGTGATGCTGGTTGGAGGACCAGAAGGTTTCTCCTCTTTGGCCAATGAGATGGGCAGGAGGCTGAATATTTTTTTGTCCTCAGTCCTTGAAAGCTAAGTCAGAGCTGATGGGAGTTATACTCAGCTGCTGGTTTCCATCTAGATACAGTTAAACACAACTTGCAGGAGGAAAAATGGGCTCATGTTTACGCTCCAGAAATCATAGTGCATTTTAGGAAACTTTTTATAGTTAGTGCAATGTCCAGTTATACCTAGGCACTTGCTATTGTGGTGATACAGAAATGCTGGAACTTTCTATTGTTCTGGCTCCACATTTTGAGCCATTAGTGATTTAAAAAAAAAAAAAAGATTTAATTTTTCTAACAGACTAATTCATACTTACTGTTACTTCAGCAGAATTGATGAGATCACTTTCCATTTCAGATTTTTTCCAGATATTTGTTACATGTTAACATTTTGTTGTTTACGTCTCTGGTATGGTCTCACATAAAACCTCTTAAAAAAATTGTGGTAGTTTAACATGAGCCATCAGGTGCACCACACAAAATGAGAGCCTAAATGTAGGAGGTTTGGAGTTGAGTGAGCTGGCAGTAGAAGTACAGAGCACAGCAGTCAGGGGGTGAGCACAGGTTCTGGGGTAATTTTTTGTTTTGTTTTGTTTTTGGTTTTGTTTTTGTTTTTTAAGTTGAATTACAGGCTTTGATTTTTACAGGTAACCTGCAGTCTGTATCTATTGCAGTGCAGTAACTTTGTCACCATTTCTGGATTGTGTGTGTATGCATGTGTTCCAGCAGTGATGTAATTTTTCATTTAATAAATCCCAGAGTTTTACTTACAGATGGAATGAGTGATTGCCATTAGAAAGCAACCAGTGCTACCTTTTAAAACAATCCTAGGAGTGTTGGAGCAAGGATGGCTAAACAGTAAAAAAAAAAATTCCAGTGAGAAGAGTAAGTAGGATCTGAGATTGTGTTAATTGATTTTACTGTACACTGGATTTCAGTTTTGTGGGTTTGGCTTTTGACTAAAGTCTTACATCATGCGGTTCTCTTGCATTCTTTCATACTTGTGAACACTAAGCCGTCAGGAAGGGAAGCTCTTCTGTATCTGAATATTTTTGCTTGGTGCAGGAAGGCAGTAATGGGACGCTCCTTTATGCATTTCACAGCTTATTATTCATTTATTTCTTTTACTGTGAAATCTGCTCTCTTGGTTGATTGCGTTTGCAAGTAACTATCTGGTCCCAGATTTTATCTCTGAAGATCTTGTTTTGGTGTGGATAAATATGTAAAGCCTGACCTATGTTTGTTTATATGTAAGATTATCCTCTTTCTTGTTAGTATGTTTTCAGTGTTTTTATTTTGACTTCTCATCTCAAAGGTCTTTCCATTGGCTGTAGCACTAAGCCAGAAAAAATTTTTCATTAATTGGAATTTTTAAGGGAAGGAACTCCAGAATTCTGATTAGAGAGGAGCAGGGAGAGCAGGGAAAAACAGGTACGGTTGGTACATGGGTACTTCTGACTCAGAAAGAACTTGTGTAAATATGATGCTTAATTCTCCAAACGGGCCTGGTGCTCCAGTTGAAAAATGGAAAAAAAACAAAAACTCTTTTCTGGGAAGAGTTAGTTTTAATTACTGGTGGCTGGAGAAGCTTTGAGGCAGTGCTTAAAATCCTGGGTGCCTTTGCTGCCTTGTTTCTAGCCTGAGGCAGCAAGTAAGGACTTATCCACCTCCCTCTTTCCTTGTTAACTGCACTGGAATGGGGGCAGAACTGGGAGGATTTGCCAGCTCCAGACTGGGTTACAGAAACCCTTTGTAGCCGGCTGGCAAGCAGCCTGCTGTTGTGGAGGCCTCCAGAGCCACTGCAGGAGCCAGGGCTGCTGTGGTGCCGCTTCGAGAAAGGCTTTAATGGAAGAGCAGTCATCAGCTTTAGCTGTGCCTTGGTCTGAACACGACCTTTGGTTTGTCCAAAGGATTTCCTGCGGGGGGGAATATACTGCACAGATGATGTTTAAACCCCAGCAAGGGCAGAGCAGGGAAGGGGTGGGGGGCCTTCTTTATCTTCCTCAGGAAACCATGTCCAGATAGCCAGATTCTGTGGAGGAAGTGATTCTTGCAAAAACAATCATCTCTTGCAAGTTGAGTACTTGAAAGCTTTTTTTGGGATGGAGTACCAAGCCATAAAAGGAGAAGGCTACTCAAAGTCACAGGGAAGAAGAAGCTAATAAAATGGGATGACAAGACGAAAAAGGGCCATGTATTTAGGGAGCAGCCATTCACAGTAGATGTGGTTTGTAGAGTGTATTGGGCTGTCTGGAGTATTTTTTTCATGTTATGAATTCTTCAGATAATTGGCTGACACTCAAAGAGTAAACTGCTAATATTTCAGGTTTTGTTTGTTGGGTTTTTTTTAGTGAATTTGGATTGCTTAAAAAATCCTGAGTAGGTGAAATTTAGGATTTTTCCTTCTGGATATATGTAATTGTCTTTCAAATATCACCTTAAATTCTTGTTTTCCCACCTCACAGTAACAGAATTAATGTATGCAAGTAGATACTTTTGCAGGAAATCATCTCCATCATGTGGAGAAGATACTTTATATCAGAGGATTATAAATCCTTCAGTAGTTGTTAACAAAAGCAGCTGTCCTCTTTCAGACTTAAGGGTTTGTGAATAAATACAGTAAAAGATGTTAGAAAACTAATATTATAAAGATGCTGAAAATATTAAAATCGTATTTGAATTAGGTTACGCAAATGAAAGTTTACTCTGAGCAGTAGTATGGATTGTGTTTGTATAAAGAAAAACATCTTACATGATCATTAAAAGGTGCTGTAAGTGGATACTTGTTCTTTCTGCAAGCGAAACCCCCTCCTGCAGTACAGCCATTTCAAGTTAGAGCTCTGTTTCTGCCAAAGGGAGTGTGAAACGTCTGTGATTTCTTCACTGGGAGGTACAGTAATACTTTTGGCATCTGTTCCTGAACGATCTGCAGGCTGGAAGTGAGTGCAGGCAAAGCTGTCCCCTTCGGTGGGCCTCTTTTTTTTCCTTTTCCTTAAGCAGTTGGCAGAGTTAGGCTGTTCCTGTAGGATGAGTGTGAATTACCGCCACTCTGTGCCAGCGAACAGAACAGCCGCATTTAAGGGTTGTACAACAACAACAACAACAAAAAGTTAAGAACAATGCATTTTAGTTACCTTGGAACTGGTTGCTGAGGAGGCCTGAAACATTGCTTTCAATTAACAAACATTATTTAGAAGCAAAGTGAAGCAGACTTTCAGCTGAGAGTCAGGATGTGTGTGGTTTTGGTATGACATCCATCCGAGCACATGATGCTTGGTAAGTGCCGGAGCCTGGGTTATGATTCATTGGGGAGAAACATGGAAAACAATGTCTGTTTTTTCAAGTGTTGCAGAAATTAATTTAAGGTTGGAATCATGTATAATTTTGGTAAAACAAACCTGCAAGCAGCTTGAATACCTCTGTTAGAAGGGGAAGTAGGGGTGATGGGTATGGCTGATGTAATAGCATCCCGCTGCCAGATGTTTGCTCGGGTTCTCGCCGATATTCATTGCTGGCTATTTTTTCAGCCAGTGGAGATGCACTGGCATATTCACAGCTGAAGATGGAGTCCAGAGGTACATATGCTGATTTTTAAGGCACAGAGGAGTAGGGGGATGGTAAAGCTGTTTGGACAGCTGGAATTATTTGTAGTATGTATTTTTAAATTACTTTTCAAACATGGTCAGAAAGCCTTCTTTGTAATTTTCTGCCCTTATGTTTCAGCTAAGAGGTGCATCTCTGTACTTGTTCAGTGCATGTGGAATATAATTATCTTCAAACACGTGTGATTTTGATTGCCCTTCAAAGCATCTAATATCGAAACAAGAATAACTTCTCTAATAATTTAAAAATGTAACACACTTTCAGTTTCTAACAGAAAATTGCTTTTAAAGTTACATTTTAAACTAAAATTATTTAATCATATGAAGTTGATGAATACTCTTATAAATAACTATGTACAATTGCTTCACAAGTGGAGTCAGATGTCTGTAGGATTTGCTATTTATATTTAAATAGGAGGGACTCAGAAGTGCTGGTATATTTTCACAAGGGCAGAGCTATCATGTTACTATTCTACACGCTGCTGTAAAATTCTCAGCTGGGCTCAGAAAAAAAAGTATCTGATGTGGAGGCAGAAGCTTCAGGTATATTTCATTGTTTGCCAAGACTGTATAGTTGAAGGTAGATGAATTGAAGGGAGGATTTCAGAGGAGCACAGTATAAACTCTTCCCTGCCTGGAAGAGTTGTTGTTCTAATTTAGGAAGAGGGAATAATTTGCCTCCAGAAAGGGCTAGGGTGTGGTCTGCTGAGATTGCTGAGATAACTCAATAGTTTTAGGTATCTTTGGGGAAGGTCTGCCTACTGTGCTGTGCTTCCTGGCGTCAGACTGATCCCATTTCCCAGTTTCTTGGTGCCTTCTTCCAAAAATCTTTGCAGAAAAGTTCAGTATTTATTTTTGTTGGCAGCAAAACTATCAGTTCACCAATACTTAGGGCTGTGACTTCTTGTTTAAAGTGAGGATGAGTGAAATAGGCACTGTTGTGTAAAATGGAAATTTTTTTGTTGCTTGGGAATTCGGTACATTTGTTCATCACTGATCACTTGAGCGGTCTCCCCCCCCTGCCCCCCTGCCCCCCCGATGCAACACTAAGTTGTTGAAATCCCAGTTCTAAGAAAAAAAAAAAAAAACCAAACAACTGGTGTATCTACATTTTTTTGTTTCATTTAACAGGTATTTTAGGTGGAGGAAACAAAGTTTTTCCTTTGAAAATAAGTTTGTGCTTATTAAAACAAAGTACAATTATTCTGTACAGGAATTCTTTTTTCCTTTGAGGCAATTAAAAGTAGGAATCCACTGGAGCTGTGTGTGGTTTTGCAGCCTCCAAATGGCTATTTACATTGCAGCAGACCAGATAATATTGAGTTGAAAAGTAAGGTTTTCCCTTGCAGCCACCAAAGATGCTGCATTGCAGCAAGAAGAATGAGCCTTGAACAAACAACTTGAACAATGATTTCAGCAGTGTCTTTTCATGTATTATTTCCCAGCAGCGCGCTGTTTGTGAAGTTGCATGCTCGTGTCCTCGGGGGTGGTGAGGATTGGTTTGGTGTGTTGGGTGGCTGGTTCCGTGCTGCAATTCAAGACGTTGCAGCCACCAAAGATGCTGCATTGCAGCAAGAAGAATGAGCCTTGAACAAACAACTTGAACAATGATTTCAGCAGTGTCTTTTCATGTATTATTTCCCAGCAGCGCGCTGTTTGTGAAGTTGCATGCTCGTGTCCTCGGGGGTGGTGAGGATTGGTTTGGTGTGTTGGGTGGCTGGTTCCGTGCTGCAATTCAAGACGAGGCTACTGTACTTTAAATATAGAGTCTGTTGTGTTGCCGTTGAGTCACACATTTGCACCAGCCATGAGCTCAGAGCAATGCCATTTGAACTTCTCTCTCCTGAATGGTGAGGCTGCAAAGTAGTCTCGTGAATTGAAATGGTACCAAAGCTGGCAAAAGACTGAAACGTCGCACTGTGAGAATGCGTTTCCTGGTGGTTTGTGTGCTGCTTTATTGTCTCTAAGTCTGGCCTGCAAAGAAGGATTGAAGAAACACATGGTTTTCAGAGAATATCTTGAGCACCAGCTGTGAAACCTAAAAGGTTAGTTAGATTTTATGGTGGATTCTGCTAATCTGCAACTACTAATTGGTAATTAGTTAAAGGGACAAGCGATAGGCGGGGAGGGCAGGGGGGGGGATCCGAAGGGTTACAAATTGTGTTGATACTCTGCTGGCTGTTCCCTCCTAAGGCTGTCAGGGGAATTTGGCACCAAGATGAGCCTTGTCCTGAGGCTCTCCAGTCACTGGTTGCCTGTATCATGTTAACCCTACCTTGTACTGTGATAAATGAGTTTTGATTCAGGCAGCAATAGCAGATTTCTGACTTAGCCAAGTGACTCTCCAGCAGGCTGAAGAATAGCACTGGAGACTTGTGATTATTTCAGCAAAGGTCCTGTTCTGAATACAGCAAAGATCTGGGCCCTCAAGACAGATGATAGCTTTTCTGGCTCTGACATAAGAGGGGCCACAAGGATGACAAAGGTGTGGGACCAGGTTTTATCAGAAGAAAGTAATACCCTGGAGAAAAAGAGTTGTTAAACAGAAGGATGAGCTCAGGAGTGGCATGAAGATGATAAGCAGGCAGTGATGGCTTTCTCTCTCTCCTGATGCGAGAACTAGGGCAACAGAAGACCAAGCCATTAGATTTTAAGTTAAAAATAAACAAAAAGAGCACATAAGAAAAGGTACTTAACAGAGGATGTAATTTAATCTGTGGAATCCATTGCCACGGGATGCTGTTGAGGCTAAAAGTTTACATGGTTTCAAAAGGCGCTTAAACAGATGCTGTGCACCAGGCGAGCACCCCTGCCTCCCGGGGCAGGCCTGCAGCAGAGCATCCCCACACACCCACTGTGGGAGTTCAGGATCTCCCTGCGGCACGGCTGCGTAGGGTTAGGGGCAGGGCGTGAACTTGAAACCTGCAAGTTTCTTCTGTAGTATTCTCGTTGATAAGATTTGGGGCTCCTTGTTTTCTTGTGTTGGCAGGGTTTTCTTTTTCCCTTCAGCTGTTAGCATTGCTTTTCAAGAGACTTTCTTAGATGTTGAAATAGGCAGTAGCTTCTTGGCACTGTAACTTATTTCAGTGTTGAATACTGTTAGTACATTTTACTTTTTAGCATTACAGAAATCATTTTTCTCTTCCTTTTCTGTCCCTCCCCAATCTTCATCAGAGCATTTTTAAAGGTTGCTCCTGCATATTAATTTGCCATGGTATGCTTTTAAAAGTAGGGGGGAACCCCTTGTAAATGGATTTTGCCCACTTAACACACAGGACATGTAGGACACTGCACTATTCCTTCAGGAGCCTGCCAAAGACAGACTGTATTTTCCATAGAACCAGCTTTCTCCTCTAGACCTTTCTGCTGTGACAGGCAGACTGACACAGAGGCAGGAGGTACTGCTGTGTGTTCACTCTTACCAGTACCATACTGGTATGTTCCAGAATGCCAGTCACCCCATGCTTACGTTATGAACCTTCACCAGTAAGAATTAAATACCTTGCTTTTGATTTACTGCTTCCCCTTTAATGATGATTATATTGCTGTATGGAAACTGAAATAGCTCATACCTAAGTACAAAATCAGTATTATTTTAATTGCAGTGAATGATGGGCTAATCATGTGAGTACATCTACTGAGATTTACCGTTCAGTAGTAGTTTGAAATTACTCTTATAAAGAAGAGTTGTAATTAAATGATTCTAAGTGCAGTGTAGTTGCTTTTCCTTCATTTTCTACTCTGAACATTTTGCTTCCTGCCTTGACTCACTGCGTTTTGCTGATATCAGCCATGTCTTTTGAGTAAAATAAACTTTCCTTGGGCTCCAGCAAAGCTTAGAGAATATTGCAGTGTTAGGAGGCAGAGCGAGATCAATAGTACGTTAAGTGAGGAGGTGTCTGATCTTAACAAATCATGATCAGTTGTTACTTTAACTTGGTGCATTTAGGTGAGTATCGGAAGAAATTCGAGGCTGAAGAAAACTGTTGGTTGCCAGAGCTTGCAAATGTAAATCGTTGGCTTATCCTTGCCGGGAAGTGGCTGGCTAGATCAGGGATACCTCCCCAGGGTTCTCTGCCCCTCCTCACAAACCAAGCAAACTGCATTGCCTCGTGTTTCTTAAGGGGATTTAACGTTGCGTATCTCATCATAGCTTGTAACAATCGTCAGGCCTTTGACCTTTTTTTTCTTTCATGTACTAGAAACAAGACTGCCAATGGAGATTACCGGAGGGAGCACAGAGAGAGGAGTCGCAGCCCAATAGAGAGGGCTGCTGCCCCGACGATGAGCCTTCACGCCAATCACATGTACGCCTCAATCCCAAGCTTGACCATGGATCAACCTCTAGCACTGACCAAAAACAGCATGGATGCAACCCGAACAGTTGGCATCACACCTACACTGACTTCTGTGGAACGGCAGCAGGTACTGGTTTCTGGGCTGACAAGGAACACTGGGTGGTTGTAGGAATCTTTGCTGTAGACACAATGAGGGCTGCCCGGGTGTAAGCAGAACATATTGCGAGTTACAGTAGGTAGGCAATGCTATTCTTCAGGCAAAATGTGTGTTAAAAATGCACAATGAATGTCACAACTCATTGTTTTTAATGTGAATAAATTGCTGATGTTTAAATGTATCTGTCACAGATTTCTTGGCAGTCGTGCTTTTTCTGATGCTTTGCTGAGCTTGTGAACGAGCGCTTGTGTTTTAAATGGGAATGCAGAGTCTGTGGCTGAGCTAAGCTCCAGTACCTGCTAGGCAGTACCTGAGGCAGTTCCCAGGTGGCGAGGGCGTTCACAGGGCGTTCACCTGTGCTCCTCTTACCAACCAGTGCGTGTTTCCCTCCCCTCTGCCCTGCCTCTCTCCTGCCAGGACTACTGAAAAAGAGGTACAAGACAGAAAGGGCATAAAGGAGAATTCTGCACTGAGTTTTCCAGGTGAAAGAAGCTGGAATGGCCTTAGTTGTTTTAGCCAGCCAAAAGTATTCGTTGTGTGCTTCAGAGCAATGTTTTATCACTACTTCATAATGACTTTTCCTAAAGCAAAGCAATGATTTTTGATTATAGTTTATTTCCATATGCCGGAGTGGTTTGGTTTGGTTTTGCTTGGCTGTTTGGCTTTTGGCTTGCCATCTTGTATATTGGATTTGTTTTCCTTCAGCACTAGTGAAGATGAGCCATCTCTATGCAGTTTATACAATAAATTTTCTTGTATGTCAGACCTGCTTTTTATCCCTCCCACAAGTGGAGAGATGAAGCAAGATAATTGAGTTGTGTCAAGATATTAAACTGGCTCGTGTACCCAAGCTCTTCCTTCCTTCCGTCCTTCCTCCCTTCCTTCCTCCCCAGCTGTGATGCCCTGCAGAGGGTAAACACTTGGAGTGGATGATCTTTCAGAGGCTGGGATTTTTCATATGCAATTTATGAAAGCTTCTTTTCACTGGAGCCGCTACATCAACTGTACAGCTTTTTCACGGTGGCTGGCTGTGCACGCTGGTCTTTTACATGTTTCTGTGCCAAAACACTGAGCTTTACACTACTGCTGCTGATATCTTGCAGTCATTTGGCACACAGATTGCAGAGTTATTGTTCTGTGCAGAACGGCTCCTCTTTGCTCTCGGTGTTGGGTGATGACAGAGGAGGAAGGGACAGGCTTCCACTGACGACACTGCTGCCCTTTGATAGCGTTACCGCTGCGTCTGCGCTTAGCAGCTCGCACCACTGACACTCCTCTGTGCTGGTGTGTTTGACTTGGGCTGATTCCTCTCTCTATTGTTATCTTTGACATTTTGAGCTAGATTACAATCTGTTTTCTTAGGAAAATAGGATGTTGAGGTAAGACCTTGCTAAGAGCCCAGAGTAGAAATCATACAAAGAAAAAGGTGTACCAAAAATGAGAAACCCTAGTTTAATGATTTGTGGGTTTGTTTTTAATCTTAAAATGTTGAATGGGATTCCATCTGACTTTGTTTCTAATAAAGAGGGGGGAAAAAAGAACCTTCTTATCTGAGGCAGCAGAGGGTTAGTCGGCTGCTGTAGTCACTGTTACAAAATTCGCAGCTTATCTCAGTATTTTCATATAAATATGTATAGCCTGCTCAGTGCAGCTGTACACACAGAACTCTGTCAGGTGCCTGATCCTGCCTCTTGGATCCTTTGTGGTGTTGGTACAGGCATTCTTGAGACGAGCTCTTCTATTACGTCTCTCCCTGCTTCCCACCTCTTGCATCTCTAGAAGAGCCTTCTGAAGCAGTAAGCATGTATACGCTTCTCAAACACCGCTTCACAGATGCACAAAATCTGGGCCCCTATAAAAAAGAAAATAAATACTTCCACACGTGAACTGCTTACAGAAAAATCAAATACTTCACTTTCTTTCTTAACTGCCCTGACAGCAAAGTAAAAAAAGTAAATAAGACGTAAATAGCACCATTCCTGTTGTGTCTAGACAAATAGTGTTAAACCTCCCCTTGAAGGCTCATCTCTCTTACTTTGTTCTCGCTCTCACTCTGTGTAGCCTAAAGTACCACTACACAAGGAAAACTCTTTCCTTCCTTGTTGACTTTGTATGGTGGTTGGTAAAGTATGTGATTTTGTGGGATTGCTGCACAGATTCGTAAAATGAACAAGAAATTAAAACTGTGTTAATTGCATGAATTCTGTTAATCTTTTGGACATTTAACAATTAACTTGCATTGAGTGTAGCAAAGTGGACTCCTTGCATTATAGAATATACCAAAGATGCAAAGCAAAAATAGTTCAATGCCTGTGTTATTTCCCTTCAGCCACCTGGAGAAACCGGGACATTTCCGGAGACCTTGTTTCAATGTAACATTCACATAGTGAACAACTCTAAGATGAGTGGTTTATGTTTGTACTTTGTACCAAGCACACGCTGTGGAATTAAGATTATGTGAACAGACACTTGGGGAATTTGCACGTGTTGGGAATGAAAAAGGCCGATGTTTCCAGTGGTGCTGGAGAGGCAGATTGGTTACAACAGGAGTACCTGTGGACAAGACTCACTCGGGAGCTCTTCATATTTTACATCTTACGGGCTTATTGTTTTGTGGCTGGAGGATGGAATATAGACTGTCAGGCTAGGAAAACTTCACTGCTGAATTAAAAATGATAACATTAAAACTTGATTAACACTAAGAAGACAAATACCTGTAAAATTTGTAAAGCCCTTCCGAGTCCTGGAGTCACAAGGATATGTGGACACAGAATGAAACAAATATTTAATGTGTTGACATTTAGTTCTGCATATGTAATGCCTGTGAAGTTGAAAGTCACTGTAAAATCACTGTGATGCTTTCAATGATTTGCTTTTACACTGCCCTTTTTCTATATGGCTGCTTGCCACTGAAATAACTAAGAGCATTATAGAAATACAATGTGTTTTGTTTTGGTTTTTAATCAGGCAAGGAAATAATAGCTCAATGTTTTGGGGTGTGATACGCGTTATTGAATTGGATAGTTTGTGGGTTATTTCACCGGTGGGATTCAGTTCAGTGTACGTCTCAAGTGCTGATGCAGAGAACTTCTGCTAAGGTGGCTGATGGCCTTAGTGAGTGACAGTTTTCTTTTTTCTTCCATATTAGAACCGTCCATCCGTAATCACGTGTGCTTCTGCGAACAACCGGAACTGTAACCTCTCTCACTGCCCCATTGCTCACAGTGGCTGCGGGTCAGCAATGCCCGCCTACAGGAGACCCTCTAGCAGTAAGTTACATGTCTGCCCTCTTAACTGCTCGGTTAGAATTTGAGGACGAGAGGATTGTCTCGCTGACCGTAGCTGTGTAGGCACTGATGTAGTAACCTCTTTGTATCCTGTCTACCCAGAGACGTGTAAGCGCAGATCCCCTCTGCAGTCTTTCTAGCCATCAGTCCTGTGCCACAGTAGAAACTACCGATTCAAAATTAGGGGGAGAGAGGTGCTCTTTTTTTTCTTGTTTTGAAAAGCTGCTTTAAAAAAAACCAAACACCCTACACAGACAAATAAGTCATTATGTTTATTTTAGTCTGACAAACAGCAGACAAGGTCAGCAGATCCTTGCTCTTATTTTAGGAGCTGTAGTTTCCCCAGTTTTTCTGTAGTCAGTAGGCTTTTATGATTCATCTGCAGTCATGAAAATCTTTTCCTGCAGATACAAATCCTCTTCCAAAGCACATAGCCTCCACCTTTCTCTGCATGGAGAGCACAAAGAGCTTTGCAGGGCAGTTGCTGTAGCAACCCAACCAGGGAGCTTTAGCATTCTACCTCCTGTGCAATTTGTACTTTTCATGAAATCTTTTCACGCAGCACTTACTGGGAAACGTTCCGATGTTTCTCTTCACTTTCTCTCACTGTGCAACCAGGGGAAAACAGCCATTTCATTTCAAGTTATACACCTGCTGATGCATCGCTTTGACACGCAGCATTTCCCAAAGTTCACGGCACTGAGGCTTCATCAGCCAGAATATGTCAGTGTAACAGTACCAGTGTGACGTGGGTAGGAACCTGAAAGTCAATACTAAGATGATGATGATAATGATTGTTATGTATCATATATACAGATCAGTGTCTTGCTGAAAACTGGAATTAGAAGCTCAAGTGAGACCCTGGAAGATATACTGCACTTTTAGAGAAGTCAGTAGTTATAGACCTAAGATGTTGGAATTTTTCTAGAAGAGTGCTGTTACTTGTCTAAGGAGAGCTGCTTCATTGAGACCCCGGCTATATTTACATGGGCTTTGCAAGAGTTGTAAATGTTTTCAGAACATACTTGTCACTTGAAGAGGTCTTTGTGCATGACACATTTATTTTAGGATCAATCAAGCCTTTCTATAGCATGAAGGACAGTGGTGTTGATCCTGACAGTTTTAAGTATTTTTGAAAGATAAGTCTCACTTGGACACACAGATACTGTTTCTAAATTGTAAAACTGCAACTCTCTCATCTTTGGTCTGAGGAATTTTTAGTATCTTCATTCAAAACCTGGTTTTTAAGGTTCTTTGTTCCTCTTGTAGTAGTATGATGCCATTTCAGCGCTCACAGTACCTAAGGCAGAGGTAGCAATTCTGTGGCTGGTTCCTGGCACAAGTATGTCAAGTAAGATGAAAGCCTGGAATCAGCTTTTGGCATGCTATCATTGAGAATGGGGTGTCCTCCCATCTGCTGGTCTCAGCAGGCTTGGGAGGTGATTGTAAAGAACTGTTTCCATCTTTAATTCGAGTTCTGTGTGATTGTTTCGGGAGAGGGTTTCCATAGAATCAGAGCTGTAGCTGTTACTAGCCTGAGGGAGAACTGTAATTATATGTAAAACGCTTACCTGGTGCAGGTCACAGAAATGCAAACATGTTTGACTCCATCTCTTTTTTTCATTTTAAATCCTTCCCTGTGCTTCCCCACCCCATTCACTACCAGTCTATAATGATGTAAAGAACTCTTTCTTTATGCTGACATGATAGAGAAGTGGGAGAAAACGGGTTCTGAAGGCAGTACTGGGTGCCAGGATTCTGCACTGAGATAACGCCTCTTCTGCCTCCTCTCCCCACCAGCTACCACTGCCTGTGACCCGGTGGTGGAAGAGCACTTCCGCCGAAGCCTTGGCAAGAATTACAAGGAGCCTGAGCCAGTGGCAAACTCGGTGTCCATCACAGGATCAGTTGATGACCACTTTGCCAAAGCACTTGGGGATACATGGCTGCAGATTAAAGCTGCGAAGGACGGAGTCTCGAGCAGTCCTGAGTCTGCGTCACGGCGGGGCCAGTCTTCCCCTTCCTCTCACATGGTCAATCATAATCACTCGCCCTCCGTAGTCTCATGAAGAGAGGACCAGTACGCTGGTGAATTTGCATGGTTTGACTGAGCTTTGAACAGTGCTTACATAGTGTTGGGGGAGGGGAGATTAGTTTTCAATACATGTTTTTGTGTACTCACTTTTTTATTTGTGAAAGGGTGCCCTTAAAGACAATAGCAGGAACTATTTCATAAAGATTCATACGATGTAGCATCCTTTTTTCCTGCCTCAATTACCAAAGAAACCTCTGATGCAAATCTGCTGCCCCTTAAAAAAAATAATGCACGCTAATCCACAAAAGCCATGACACTTAGTTGGTTGACCCAAATGCTTTTTGCCTTTATTAGCTTCTTGAGACTAGAATTTGTCTGGTTTGCTTGCATTGCCTTTTTTTTTTTTTTTTTTTCCCTCTGTGAAGTACTTTTGTATGTATATACTTGAAAAGAACTGTCATGTATGATTTGCACTATTGGAGGAGGACTGAAGTTGCATAGCAACTTTCTGGAAGATGCTAATATTTTGAGGGCAAACTGCTGAAAAAAGGGTTTAAGGATGACATTTCTATCAGTTTGATTTTTCTTAAAGCAAAACAGCTTTGGAAGGGGAAGTCTCATACAGGTTATAGGTCTTTCTCTCTTTAGATTTCAGGTGCTTAGTGCTTGCAACTGGACTGCATAATTTACAGAACACGGGCATTTTTTCCTAAACACTGCAGTTTGTTAGAATAGAGCTGAGGTTGGAGGGTTCAATAGTGCTTAACGATGCATGTTTTATGAAAAATAGCTGGTATCTATTAATGTATAGACAGTAAGAATCATAATACTTATTAGCTTTTCTTCAGAATTAGTTTATTTTTGTCAGTAACAATCCTAGATATACTTACTGCTGGTACAGTTGTACTCTATGATATTTGTATTTGATATTCACTTTAGTAGCAGCCAGCAAACGAGGACAGCCTCAGGACAGGCCGCAAACAACGCAGTTTAGAGCTATATGATGCGTGGTACAGGATGCTATAGCTTTGCGCATGACTGAGTAATTGTTTCTGTCTGCAGCACTGTCTGCTTAACAGGAATTTGCTTCCTAAAACTAAGTCTGTGTAATCCACCCTTAACTAGCTGCAGAAACTGCTACCGTTACGTATCTTGGCTGGACAACAGATTGTTACAGTTTGTGAAATATGCTCTTTAATTTTTTTAAGCTTATTCATAAACCTATGCCAAGTTGCAGCATACATTCCTCCATTAGCAAACTTTATACAGGTATTATTGCATTTATTATCATTTGCTATATTAATAGCTACTAACTAGAGATTAGGCAATAGAGGCAGGCATAAAACCACAGCTGTGCTAGTACTAAGAGCTTCTCTTCTTGTTAAGTGTAACTACTCTCCCCCGTACATTCCATCTTCCCAGTACAGTTGCAACTAGGGCGCTTTTTTATACTGGGTTACCTGACACGATTGGTTCAGTGTAGAAGGTTAGAACTAGCTGGAGGATGAACTACACGTGATGTATTATGGACTATGTTACAGTATTGGGTCCATTGTGGCTTTTATTTTATGTTGTTTTTTTAAAGTTAAGCTATTTAATTTGGAAAAGGTGCAGGGTAGAAAGACATCGGGAGATTGGTTCTTACTCTTGTTGAGAAGGTAGCTGCTCAATTTTCTTTAAAAAAATAAAAAATAAAAAATAAAAAAAAACCTTTTCACCTAAGCCCCCAGTTTTACACATTTCACTACCATCTTACTGGGTAGTCAACGCTTACTTGCTTTGGCATTCAGTACCCTACTCTCTGTAGGAAGATGATTGTTAAAAGAACACTTTTTTATATAGGTAACTTTAAGACCATCGTTACGCTGTGCGTAAAGAATGTACAGAGAAATTTGTAGGTATTTTTTGAGGAACAATTAATTTGTTAATGATATGTAGCTATTTAATTTTTCCCTTTCCTTTATTGTAATCATTCATTTTTTGTTTGGAGAAAAAAGTTGATCTTTTTTTTTTGTTGTAGATTTGTCTGTAATACAGTAAAAGTGCAGGAACACAGTTATTCTATGAGAACACTGCATTAGCATTAATAGCCACTAGTTTGTTATTGCTACAGGCTACTGAGCATTGTAACAGTAAAATACTAATACTGTAGATGGACTCTGTGGAAAATGTGACTCCTATATTTCTTTGTAGACACAAATAAGATAATGTTTTTAAAGGTAATATTTTCAATAAGAGCTGTTTTACAAGGTTACATTTACTTATCTGAGATAGGTAAATGGATTTGAGGGCAATAATAAAGATTTAATGTGATATGTCCAGTAAAACATATATTAGACACAATAATGTCACAAAAGCCAAAGGGTGGGGGGGAGGTGGAAGGAAACTAAACTGAACTCACCATCATGAGACGTGGTGAAGTTTCTTCACAGAGCCAGGTTATCTACAGTTCAGTTTGAAAGATTCTCTCTGTGTTTGTAAATCTGTAATATACCATTCTTTTGTGGCCTTGTTTCACCTGGAAAAAAAAAAGGTTTGGCAGGCCATCTTTTTTTTTTTTTTTTTTTTTTTGTACTTAAAAGTAGCCTTAAAGAACAATAAAGTGCTCTTAAATCACAGGTGTGTACACGCTCTTCTGTATCGCTTGGGCAGAGAGGAGGTTGGTGTCTGTACCTGCTGAGCTGGAAGCAGAAGCACACCACTGTTGATGTTGTGTTTTCCTTCTGAGGAAACCCACTTTGCTGGGGAGTGTTACCCCCAAAGGGGCTGGCACAGCAACAGGCTGTTGGGTTTTTTTCCCCTACAAGTTCAGGAGTTTGTCAAAACCAGTCTTCACAACTGCAGTGAGAACCTGTTGCTGCCCTAGCGGAGATGGACAGAAATGCCCTGGCTTTAGGAGGACATCTCCGGCTGCTGAGCGCAGGCTGGCAGCAGTCCCGCTGAGCAGGAGTGAGCGCCCAGGACTGCTCTCCATACGGGGCGGTAGCAGCTGCTCCTGGTCCTCATGCAGCTCACCAGCAGCAGCTCCGGAGTATTTTCCTGTTTTGGAAAATATGTGCTACTCAAGCACTTCTGTACTGTTTATGAAAAGGCCAATGTCATCATTTTCTTTTGTTTTGTCCCTCAACTTCTTCAAGCTTTATCTAGAGAACAGAAATTACTCCCTGAAGAAGACAGCTGTGTTTCACATGTAGACATCCCTGGGCTTGTGTTTGGGGTCAGCAGCATTTCAATAGAAGACTGGAGACAGTTAATCCTTAGAAAACAAGTGTTCTAATTACCTGGTTTTCAGAAAGTTCGGTGAACCAGATAAATTTCAACTGAACATAGTAGACTTGTCTCCAAAATTAAAAAAGGAACCCATCCAACACCCAAATCAGATCCCACAGAACGCATCCAGGCGGGCTTTGAATGTCTCCAGAGAAGGAGACTCCACACCCTCTCTGGGCAGCCTGTTCCAGTGCTCTGTCACCCTCACCGGGAAGAAGTTTTTTCTCATATTCCAGTGGAACCTCCTATGTTCCAGCTGCACCCATTGCCCCTTGTCCTGTCACTGGATGTCACAGAGAAGAGCCTGGCTCCATCCTCCTGACACTCACCCTTTACATATTTATAAACATTGATGAGGTCACCCCTCAGTCTCCTCTTTTCCAGGCTAAAGAGACCCAGCTCCCTCAGCCTTTCCTCAGCAGGGAGATGCTCCATTCCCTTCATCATCTTGGTGGCTCTGTGCTGGACTCTCTCCAGCAGTTCCCTGTCCCTCTTGAACTGAGGGGCCCAGAGCTGGACACAATATTCCAGATGCGGTCTCACCAGGGCAGAGTAGAGGTCCCTTCCAGTCTCTAACATTCTGTGATTCTGTACTAGAAGTGCCTACAAGGTTTGGGAAGTAGGCATGACATGCATCTACACCGTTCAAGTAAACGGCTGCTTTGGGGGTGGGAGATTCCATGAGAAGACGTCAAGAATGATTAGTTTAACACATCTGAAAAACATCCCTCTCTAAATACCCGTGGAAAGAAGCCTAAATACATGCTTTAAGAGCTCTTGGGAGGGAGGCCAACTACAACAAGCCTCACACGCCTCGCAGTCTGCTTTCTGCAGGGAGCTGGTTTCCTTTTAGGAAAAAGTCATCCCTACATCAACATTTTGGGGACTACATGAAACAGGACCAGCAGCATTGCTATCTTTCAGGTAAATTAGAGAGAGTTCTATTTTCTACATGGGAAAAGGAAAAATACAGTCACCTTTTTTCCTACCACATGGTTTTTCTAATTAGCAGCAAGCAGTAGTTTTGCACAAAGGGGTGGTGCCATGGCCTAGAAAAACTGGACAGCACACACATGTCATATTATTAAGAACTATAGTATTTGTGGTGGCCTGTCTGCTTCTGTGAGCTCGATTAAAGGCAATTTCCAGCCATGCTGTTGTAACCCTACCCCCCCACACGCACAAACATTAGCTTTGCTAATTGAATTCAAACCAGAATTTTAATTTTAGAAAACAAACCTGACATCACAAATAGACGAGAGCCTGAGTTTGGATCTTTCTCCGTAGTTCAGTGAGTGACCTCTCCTGAATACAGTTTCTGTGTATTCCAAACTGCTTCAGCTGTGAAAATGAACTTTCATACAAAACCAGAGAGAGGCTAGGGCGGCAGCCGGTGTAGTGTGACACAGCAGCAGCCCAAGCGGAAGATATAATCCTGTGCAGGTCCACAGGCAGTATGTCTGCTTACTGGCTAACCCTAACCCTGCACTAACAGCGTCGCTGTCAGGCCCACGGAGCCCATCCAGCAGGGTGTACGTACCCCGCAGGGCAGAAAGGACCCAGGGCAACGTTTATTCCTTTAAAACTGCAAACACCTGCTGCAGCAAAGAGGTTGGGAGACGCCTGTGCCACGCTCGGGCTGGACCGCGCCGGGGTCTGTGCGGAAGGCAGTGTGCTGGAGTCAGATGGCTGCAGAGGTTCCTGCCACTGCTGCAGCTGCTCATAAAGCAGCCACACCGCTGCACAGTGCAACCAGACTGTGAGACTGAAACTGGCACGTGCACAAAATGCGAAATTGTAACCAGGTCACCCTCAGAGAGCCGTGCTGGAACTGCAGCAGTTCAGAAGCTGCTTCCCAGGGAGCTGCTGAGCTGTCACTGCAGCGGGGCTGAACGCTCCCAGAGGGGTGCAGGGGACTGCTGGGGTGGGAACAAAGCCAGCTGGTCCTAGGAGGCCAATCAGTCAACAGAGAAAAGATGTAAAATCATCTTTCAGCCTTGTTCAGAAGCCTCTGTGCAACAGCAGAGTCAGAGCACTCCCTGCATACGCTGCACGAGCGGCGAGCGGTGAGCCCCACCGGCTGTGGAGTGGCGGCTTCCCCAGCATCCAAACCCCGGGCCAGTGCGTCGTGCTGCTGAACGTGATAGCCTGGCAAAACACAGCTGAAGTGTTCTTAATTTAGTTGTGTAAAAGAGCTCGCCTCCCTGGACCTGGCACACGTGCGCTTGGCTGAGGGAACTGTCACCACTATCTTTAGATCCTTCGTGGGAACAGTGAAATGAGACCCCAGGCTGCATCTTCCTGGTGGCCAGGAGCTTCCATCTCAGCTGGCACGGCGGCAAGTGCCATACAGCCACGCTTGGTGTCTGAGGGGTGTCTCCTGCCCTCTTCCCCTCCCGGACAGTCATTGCGCAGCTGGATTATGGTGTGTGTTAAGCACACTTCACCCCTGAGGGCCCATGGCAGCAGATACACCAATTTAGTACCTAAATAGTGTCTTTAACGTCTCCTTTCATGGAACATCCTGCCCCTCTCTGTGAACAGCTAGCTCAAGTGCATTTCTTGGGTATAAGGCAGCCAAGATAGATAATTTAATTGCTTATTTTTAAACTGCAGTTACAGCTCCACAGCAGCTGCCCTGTGCTTCAGAGCCGCTTGTTTTCCCTTGGTGGTCTCGTGTCACAGCACCCCAGGCAACAGCACGGCATCCCTCCAGAGTGCACGAGGGAAAGATCCTCAGAGCACGTGCTGTCTCGGGAGTACGTTCACCTGCTCGGGAAGAGAGGTTTTATGTGGATTTACCCCCCAGAGAGGTGCTGGGAGACGCACGGGGGCCGCACGTCTCACCAGGAGCGGTATTTCACACACACACCTCTTCTCCATCAGCGGGGTACGAGCCTCGGCAGAGCCCCGCTCCGTTATCCTCTGTGACGGAGAGGGACTGAGCGCCCAGGAGCTGCGGTGATCTGGACTGGAGGCAGCAGAACTGGGCAGACATTCCTTACCCCTCTCTGTATGCATGGCAAAACCAGGAATACAACCATGGTCTCCTGCAGGCCAGTGCAATACTCGATCCACATCAGTGCGTGGCCTTCCCGTGGGCACTCAGCCTTCAGTCTGAAAACCTCGCTGATCAGAAGCAAAGTTCTCGAGTGCATTCAAGCCTTGTCCTGCCCAGCCACTGTCCCAGGGTGACACTGTCACTAACCAGTCATCACTGTAGAAGAGGAAAGGGAGAGCATGTCATGTCATCCTTGATCTAAAGCCACACACACCACCTCTTTCCCCCGTTCTCTAATTTCAGATTTTCTCTGAGACATTTAATAGTTTACAGCAAACTCGGGTGTCTTAATAACACCCTCAGCACAGGCTGAAATAAACCTGCAGAAGAAGTCTAACTCAGTCCAGTGTGGA